GGACCTCCAGTAAGTTAATGTGGTGCTCAGTAATTCGATCAGTACTCCAAACTTTTGAACTACCACATTTTGGAGCATGCATTTTCTCTCTTGCAAACATTTGTGTCATTATTTCTCAAAACTGGGTCTTTTGTTTCTAAAAATGCTATACTATATATACTGTATACTATATACTATATAACATAAAAGAGGCAAACAATTCCAGAAATCAAATTCTGTTATATTCAGGAATGGTATCCTACTGTGTAGTGCAGTTGCCAACATGTAAGGTCTCCTGCTTGACTGTGATCCAACAGGTCACAGCCATCAGCCCAGATTCACCTGTTCAATGTGTGCATTCTGGAAAAACCTTTGTAAAAGAAGCTAATTAATATTTACCTGTTGCTTTTAGGGTACAACAGGCGAGCAGGGAGCTCCAGGAATCTTTGGACCAAGTGGACCTAGGGTAAATTGTACAGTTCCATTTGTTTCAGGAGGAAAGCATGGTTTCCTGAATTTCATCTTTTGTAATAATATATGTTTTTGTTTGGTCAAGAAGAAAACAATATTTATTTTAGTGTTATGCCAGCATTTAATTTGGAATAAAAGTCTTAATTTTAAGGCTAATGGCTAACTTTCTTTACTGGAATGTTATTTAGGGGCCTCCTGGACCTATTGGGCCTTCCGGAAAGGAAGGATACATTGGGCAGCCAGGACCGATGGGACCCCCTGGAACTCGTGGAATCAGTGGAGAAGTTGGACCAGAGGTATTGTCTCATTATACAGCGTAGAAGTTTTTACTGTGTGCGAGTTAAACTAATAAAAAAGATTGTAGAAAACAGCCAGTAGTGCAGCCAGCTGTTAAAAAAGTCATTACATTGTCAAACATCTTTCTGACAGATGTTCGTTATAGGAAGCAAGGGACTGCTTTAAGTGTTTTATTATTGTCTGTGCACAATTTTGACTAGTAAGCAACACTATACATAAAACTATACATACAAATAAATATATATATTGTTTAATACTATTCCTAAATCCACAGGGCCCTCCAGGAGAGCCTGGACCCTCAGGCCCCCCTGGTCCCCCAGGACCACCCATGTCTGTTATGGATGACTTCTTTGACGGCACTCACGATTACGACTCCGGCCCTCCTCCTCCTCCTGAATTCAGTGAGGACGAGGCCCTGCCCAACAGCAACTCCTCCACCATAGTGCCTGTGGACCCTGGCGTTCAGGCCACCCTGAAGGCCCTCAGCAGCCAGATCGACAGCATGAAGAGTCCTGACGGCAGCAGGAAACATCCTGCCAGGACCTGCGACGACCTCAAGAGATGCTACCCCATGAAGAAGAGTGGTGAGTGTCTGTAGAAATCGCTGAGTGGGAGGAGTGTTTGGGAGGATTTCACTCTGCTGCAAGAGGCAGATAATGTGTTGGGAAAATACATATATTTTTTTAACAATAAATCTATATCTTACACTTACCATAAACTGAAATACACACATAAGGAGAGATAGGCCTTCTGTGGTGTGCAGAATAAATTTTAATTACACTCTTCTGCTCTGTCTTTGTCCTCTAGTGAATTATCTTAGCTGTTAATTTTCATGCAATATAACTGACTTTTACCATCGCAGTCATCGCAGCTGTAGAATAAATCAATCACGTCCTGATCATTTTGTTGTGTAGGGGAGTACTGGGTCGATCCAAACCAAGGCAGTGTGGAGGATGCCATCAAAGTGCACTGCAACATGGACACCGGAGAGACCTGCATCTCTGCCAACCCGTCCAGCATACCTCGTAAAGTGTGGTGGAGCTCTTCCAGGAACAAACCTGTGTGGTTCGGAGCTGACATCAACAGAGGAACACATGTGAGCAGTTACATTTTATTTTTTTAATGATGGGAGAGAGGGAAGCAGGCACAGTGAAGTTGTGAAGACTTTATAGAGAAAGAATCTTGTAAAAAATGTGTTACTGTGATTGAAACAATAAGACAACTTCGCAATGGAGGAGAAAGGTGTGTTCAAAAGATCTGCAAGAACTAAATGTTGAGAAAAAAAAATTAATTTAATTATTGATTGTTCTATTTATTTCTCTAGTTCGCTTATGGCAACAAAGATCAGGCAGCAAACTCCATCACAGTTCAGATGACTTTCATCCGCCTGCTCTCCAAAGAGGCGTCCCAGACCATCACCTACCACTGCAAGAACTCTGTGGGCTATAAGGACGACAAGAATGGCAACCTGAAGAAAGCTTTAGTCCTCAAGGGCTCCAACGAACTGGAACTCAAAGCGGAGGGAAACAGCCGGTTCAGATACACAATGGTGGAGGACTCCTGCTCAGTAAGTTCCCACATTACTTATGTATTATTAACTGTATCAAAAGATACTGCAACACTCAACAAATCCCATGAAATGACAAACAATGAGTTAGTCTGTCCCTCAATACCTACCGAAACATAGCCTGAATCTTTCAAAAAATCGTCCTAAATATATTCATAAATATATAGTTTTATTTTTTTAAGGCTGTTATTTCCTAAGATAGCTATACTATAGTTTTATGCCAACAAAGCTGCTCTAATCATTAATCTTTCAGCTCATTGTTTTGATTTTATGGCCTGCAGCCTTGTTCTTTTTTTGGTTCACTGTCACTGTCATTAGCATCGTTTCCAGCCACAGCAAGCAGCTAATTTTAGCAAAAAAATCTAATGAACCGAACTGTACGCTACCTGCTTAGTGCAAAACAGCTGACAAAGTTAGCTGGTGAACATAGTGAAGCACATAGCAGAAGAGCCAGATATTTCTCTCAGGAGTTAGTGGAGACCAAAAGCAGAGCTAAAAGGAGAGTGACTATTGTAATTACATTTAACACAAACACAAATTGGGTTTGAGTGCAGTGAATTCTTAAGTTGCTCTGGGTCTGCTTCACAACTTCATAAGGTGATAATTAAATAGGGCTGTGGAATAATGCACATTTGCAGTAATGAGCATTTTTGCCAGCGGGACTCACTGATGTTTTTAAATAGTTTTTTGGACAACAATGGAGCTATACGGCACAGAGGATTAAGATACATCAGGATACACAGACAATAAGTAGGATCAATTAATTGTTGTTGGGTTCATGGGATTTGTTGACTATAAGAAAAATATAAAATAAATGAGTGTCTAAAGTTTCAAAGCAAAGAAAACTCATTACCAAAGTCAACGCCCAGATGAGATTAATACATCACAGAACAAAGATATTAAAATACTGTTTATCATTTCAGTAAGATGAATGAGAGAGAACAATTAAGTTATTCACTGAACTTCTATTGTCTGTCTTTTATTGCAGCAAGCAAATGGCAACTGGGGCAAGACAGTGCTTGAGTACAGGACACAGAAAACAGCAAGACTTCCTATTGTGGATATTGCCCCTGTGGACATTGGTGGCCCAGATCAAGAGTTCGGCATCGATATCGGGCCTGTGTGCTTCTTGTAAAATCGTCAGCAGGGATGCGTCGAGGTGAATCCTGAGACTATTGAACTGACAGCTGACACGATCAGCCACGTTGTACATACGAGTACTGAGGACTATTCTGGCCCTGTGGCAAGATATTTATTGTGCCTTTCAACCCAGTTCAAGACATCGGAGATTTGTAAGTTAGAATGAATGTTCGCAATTTACATAAAAATTTGGTAAAAATCAGAATCATTCCTCTGTCTTGTTTATGTTCGACTTAAAGCTTGATGCATTTCGAGGATCACTTGGTGTAGATTGGTCCAAAGATCTTACTCTTTAATTTTATTTCACAAAATATTGCCAAAGATTCATGAATATGAAAGCTTTAAAATGGTAACTATAACTGCTGTTTATAGGCCTGGAAACATCCTACTAAAGCTACATCAAATGTTGTCCTTCCACTATTTTTTACAGATTTGTCTATTCATTTTTTTTTGTTTTAAATGTTTGAATATAAAACAACATTGTGGTGCTATTGAGGAAACAAATACAGCTGATGATGCGTTCACCAGCGCAGGTATTTTCTCGAGACAGTTTTGATGAACTAATGTCTGTATCCAGTTATTTTAAACTCTGTACCGACCACGTACAACATTAAAGACATTAAGACTGTCAATTCCTCAGTGTTAGCTACCTCGTCACCGAAACTGAGAAACGATGACACTACATGTAAATCTTTTTTCACAGGTGCTGTTTTGTAAGTAGTGTGATCCTTGTGCACTTCTCCCGGCTGCACGGTAGGGCAGGGTTTGGGGATACCAATAAAGATCTTTCTGTCAACGATGGAGAGATGAATGAGGTGTCGTGTGAGTGGTGTGTGGTGATTTGTAAAAAAGCTTTTTTCCTTCGATAAGGTAACACAGAATATTCTATTTTTATGCATGTCAGTTCCCCCTTCTCAGTATCCTGGACCTATATGCTCTTGAAATCCTTTTTATAATCAGTTTTATAGAACAAGGTGGCTGTGAGTGCCTGTTTGCTTTGTATTTCTTGCTATGCAACAAATTAAACAAAACGCTTGTTAATCCCCCCAAGTTCTTGTCATATTAATTCAGGTATAGTTAGGTCCTTTACGCTTGTCTTTTTTCACACAAACTCATTTTTAGACATATTTTGTAGTTTAAAAAAATGTATTTAACATTCACAGTTGTGTCAAATGTAAGCTGTTTTTTCATAAAATTTTCATGAATGTACCTACAAGTAATTCTATTGTGACCATTTGGCTCATATTTGAGTATATTTATTATAAATCTGTAACTTCTGCAAGGCCTGACTGCCTGCTAACACCCCAGAGGCAGAGAGGAGGAGCGAGGGAGGAGGATGAGGAGGAGGAGAAGGAAGGTGCTTTCCACACTGGAAGCAGATGCGTTTCATCCTTTGAAAATAAATATTGAAAATACTTCTCTCTGCCTGTTCTTGTTTCAGAAGAATTCATTTGGTCCTTTAAAAACTTTGTAGCATGGTAGAATAATTTCAGCCTCAAGAGGGTGTGAATCTCTGAGGCAAAAAATCACATAAAATTAGAGATGATAGTAAAAAAAAAGTGACACCACATATTTAATATAGATACAACTGAAAAAGTAGGTCAACGGCAGAGTGAACTGCTTCTGAAACTGCATCAACGTTACACATCACACAAGTATGTAGCTACAGCAAAGCTAGTGGGAATGTAATTTGTTTTCATGTATTGGACCAATTTAAATTTTGACCTGATGATGGCACTAGATGAAAAGTCAAGGAATCACCAACATTATTACAATTAATCATGTGGGATCATACACACATTTACCAAATTTCATAGTAATGCATCCAGTAGCTGTGAAGACATTTCAAAGAGAACCAAATGTGTCAACCTTCATGGATGTGCTGGAGGAAAAGTCCAAGGATCACCAAATTCAGTCTCATCTGGGAACCAAAATGTACAAAATTGAGACATTTTGAGTTCGGCCCAAACTGGCGGACTGATCGTCCAACACTGCCATCCATAGAGCTAACAGCATGGCTAATATAAAATATTTGAATTAAAGAGAAAACATCTCAAACACAAAACCTTTACACAACAGCTTAATAAAGTCACGCAAATAATATTAAATGATAGAATCAATGAGTAGCATTTTTTTTTGCAGTAAGATTTTCTTTAATAGGTGTAACAGCAAAGTCAATGCAACCAAAAGTAAAATAATGGGAATAGTACTGTACTGTATATGGACAGAGGCTATCCAAAAAAAGTGCCCTCTGGTGCAAGAAAAGCAGACTAAAATCATGACAAAGTAAAAAATATGACACGTAAATACTGAAATGGCAACTCATGTGAAATGCAAAAAACAAACAAAAATAAAATAAACAAACAACTCAACATCAAAAACAAGCAGTGAAAAGGTCAGTAAGCAACTGGATTAATTCATGTGTGAAATAATGGTGAGTAAAAAAAAGCTATATGACGTTATGGGCAAGCTGTGTTAATGATACAGATTCCATTTATTTTCTTCTCCAGCTTGTGTTTGGCATACAAACAGGAATGTGTTAACAATACATAATTCAAATGGTGCATACACACAAACTGTCATATGAAAATTCTGTGTACCATTGGACATATTCGACTATTTACATCTCTCATTGCCTGTTCAAGCAAAGGTACTCAAAACTACTCCTTCCATAAGTTGTTTTCTTTTACAAAAATAGTTCTCTTCTATAATGGATCTGAGTTTACCTTGAAATATCGAAAAACCAATCTAAATGCAAATGCATATAAACCTCAAGATGAAAACTGTGACATCTTGACTCAACTGTGGAGTGGATTTTGGCACTTCTTCATACAAACGAGTTAAAAGTACGTGACAAAGAGCATCTTCTTGGCATCAGCAGCGACTGTCTAGCGGGTCCAGAGAGAAGACAGTGCCCTCTAAGGTTAGTCCCATTTTGAACCCCTCCTGGAAGACAAACCAGAGAACAGCAATGACGTTCAGCGACCACGCACACTGACATGATCTCTGAGAGATTACATGTCCAAATGTTGTTAATAAACAGGACATCTGAGTAATATTTAGATTAGAGCCAATGGGGAAAAGTCTGTAAACTGAGGGTAGGAGAGAATGAAATGCTAAACTAAACAGATTACAGCACTGTTGTTCCGTCATGCTTGGTCATGCATTATGGGTAAAATCATAAACTCAAGCAGAAACAATGCATGCACCTAATGAGAAGCGCTGGTGAAATGAAAAAGAAAGTTTTATTTTGGAAACTGCAAATATCTGGTAAAAAGGCAGCCATAGTGTGCTTGTAAAATGCTTTTTTTATATAGATGCACACTTAGAAGGAAACTATCGCATCCTTCTAAGTAATTATTGCCGGAAAACCAACATCTTAGATTATAAAAATTGTTTAAAAATGAATAAGCTTAAGTCTGCGACAAGAGCAGCTCATCATCTAGAAGTGCTAAGAAAACAAACTGCTATTTAAAGACACTGGCTGGTGCCTAATACACTGTATATCTACTGAGAGCGTTTCAGAGAAGATGGAAGAAGTGGATTTACATCACACTGGATTTGTAAGAGCATGCAACATCCTCCACACATGCAAGACAAAGACACGCCTACAGTCACAGCACAGACAGGGAAGCTAGCACAGAGCAAAGAGTACAAACCATCTCTGACGCTACAAGAGGAAAGGACAAAAGGTGAATTCAGTTGTTAATCATTAAGAAGAGGAAGAAGTTGAAGGAAAAGTTGAAAAAGTGCAATAGGTTCAAGCGAGTCAATGCAACATCGCCTCCTACTGGCTGATCCCTGCTAAAACTCAGCAGCTGTTTTGCAGACAGAAACATACAAGTTGCAGCAGATTTTTAGTTCCAGATGTCATTATGTCCTAATCATTCAGGACACAGACCCACGGAGAATGACTGTTTGTGGGGATAAACTGTGTTTGTAATGATTCGTCTGATTGTATGCCAACTTCAGCCACAGCAGTGGTTCTCCAACTTTTTCTCACAGCCCCTTTTGGAAGCAGAAATAAAAAGCCATATTCTCTAATACCACCAAAAACCTACCTAATTGTTCTCAACCATTCACTATATTTGAAAATGAGTACACTGTAAAACCTCATAAAAGGAATTTTGTGGAATCAACTGACTTTTTATTAAGTTTTGTAATTTTTTCAGTTACAGACTATTTAAAGAAGTCTTGTTACTTTAAAGGATGGATTCACTTCACTCATTAAATTAAGACCAGTAGTAGTAGTATAATTTAGTGTCATCTAGTGGTGAAGTTGCAGATTGCAACTAACTGAACACCGCTTGTGTCTATATTTGACGATCTGGCACTGAGGGCTGTAAGGTGTGTAGTAGAAACTACGGTGGCTGCATTACTTCCAAAAAATGCAACTTTCACTAACGTATTTGATTGATGAGCATAACAAGAAAATCTGACCACCTTGTACATGTTGTTTTGTGTACAAATAAATAAGAACATAAATCTTGATAGCCTTGGTGATATGATGCCTCTACAGAAAGCAATACAACATGGATAAGCCTCAAGTGAAATAATTCTGATTGACTTTTTATTCATACTTCCAGACAGCAGGGGATAATTGTATTATATTTCTGAAAAGCCACAATTTTCTTTGTTATTTCTTTATAGCGAATACATGTTAAACTACTCATTTATCCACCAGACCACAAATACAGTAGTAAAAAAGGTTCCACTGTGACATTTTTGCTGAATACTGAGAACATTTTCACTTGTTGTCACTTTTTTGGAATGCATAAAGGAACATTAAAACATAACTATATGATACACTCTTTTTATTAATGCATTTTTTAAATGAAACTGGTTTCATGTTCCTGATAAATCTAAATAAAGAGCTGAGTCACGTTCACCACTGAGTCAGCTGAGGATTTCATTAAAATCCTATTGTGCTCAGCTTTTTCCAGAAAGAACATAAACAGGAAGATAGAATTAGGCAATCCCTCACATCTGTTTGTTTTACTGCAGTATGACAAACTTGATCTATTTCAGAGTTACTAATTTAAATAAACTGGGTACTGGAGCATAGGCAAATTAGGACCAAACTGTCCAGAAAGAACTCAGCAGTGGTGCCTACCTCTGAGGCATCGCCCATGTTGCACAAAGCCTTTTGTATACACAAGAGAAAATCTGGATCTTCAAAGTGCTGAGACTGATAATAAGACAGATAGAAGCGCTGGGTTTCACAGTTTAAGCAGACTCCCTGCAGTTCTTTAAAACACAAAGTGGAGAAATCAGACACAGACAGGCGCTCACCTGCATCTCATCCAGCTTTGACTGAATATCTGGAGGGAAGTCAGCTGCTCCGCAGGTGAACGGATCGAAGGGCTCAGCACCAAACAGGTCTTTTCCTTCAAACACAGACAGCAGATAAACATCACACTGAGTGAAAAGGAAAAATAGCTTCAATAGGCAGTCTCCTGTTACTATGCGGTAAATATTTAAACAAGGAGTATTTTTAACAGCCAAAATCCTTCAATTCTGCAGAGTAAATCTATCACCAGCTGGGGAACTAATTCAAACCTTTACATCTTAACTACTCACTTATATCTGGTGGTAATGTGGTCGGTGGTGGTGGTGGGCAGCCGTTGCTGGCCAGAGTGGGCACCAGCGGCGTCACAGGTGAGAAGGGAACCATGTCGAAAACGTCCGTAGACTGCGGTTTAATGGAGATACTCCCTGCCTGTAAATAAAGTCATGGAAATGATTAAGCCAAGGTCAGACTTGTGTAAGCCTTGCACGTAGACAAACTACACAGCTATTTTTATACAAAGGTAAGAGAAGAAGAAGAAACAGCAAAAGACTGACAAGAGCAGGAGATAATAAGTTCTCAGTGGCAGCGACAAAGCACACAGCAGAAAGACAGAAAAAGCATAGGGTGTTTACGCGAGGCCGCGGGATGCTGCATCCCTCGGTAGGCTTAGGAGGAAGGAGAGCAGGTTTGGCAGGCGGAGGAGTTAGTAGCCCAGTGGACAAGTTGGACTCCGGCGAGCTCATAGGAGTGAGCGTGACAGAGGAGATTTCCAGACAGGAGAGCGACTTGATGCTGTGACACCAGAAGAGAGAGGAGGGCCTCTGCAGCATGTACGCTTCATTAGCTGCGTTTATGTGCAGCGGCTGGGAAAAGATCGCAGACAGAAAACGACCACAGAGGGACAATATTATTCAGAAGGAGTAGGGGAGGTGTGGGTAATTGCATTCGCAAGAGGCTGTCACAAGTACTGGCATTTGGCCCAATTAGATGCCGATTGTATCACATTCCTCATCAGACCAATCAGGTGTGTAATTGCTTTGCTTCAGACACAGCTTCGACCCCCACGACTCCCTTCAGATAGGTTTGGTCATTCCAAGCTTGAGGTTGAGGTTGTGCATTTAATCACTGAAGCAATATCAGCAAAACCAGCTGTCCTTAAAAAAAACTTGCAAGCTTACTTTTATACTTAACTTTCATAATTAAAAGATGGTCGTGGTTGTTGCACTTTTGGCCGATGTAGAATTTTTGAATCCGAAATGATTTGAGAGTCACATTAAATCGGTAAGCTGTTTTTGTTTGCAGAAGTTGCAGTTAAAGTGAGACGTTGTAACTTTTGAAACCCAATTTTAGTCTTAGAAATTTTTTTTATATTAATAAGCAATTAAACACCCTTGTTTTATTCTTGCCACAGCCTCACTTACAATGGTATGACCATTAGCTTACGGTGGCTAATGCTAGCTAATGTTTGTGTAAATATTACTATGTAGCAGATTAGCTGTTATCTTACATTTGAGCATTGGAACATATAACATAGAACACTTTCCCTAAATTGTGACCACAGTGTCTCCTGTTCAGAAACAGACATCAACATTAATATGCAGAATCTAGATTTCCAGTCTCTAAACTGAGGAGGTGTGTGTTTGTGCAGTTGGTCCTTACTGGTGGCACATGAGCTATCATCAGCTGTTCTTCAAGGTCTTGAAGCTGTTGCTTCAGCTCAGAGTTTTCTGTTTCCAGTTCTTGAATCTGCACAAAGACAAGAGAAACCCAATTTCACTGCAGTTTTACAGAAACTCTCTTACACACGTATGAATTTGGTTGTCTAATAAAAGGCTGTTTTCAGCTTTGTGGTAATTAATTGTTAGATAATTTAATTTTTAAATTGTTAAGTTTGAAAACTGGAGAATTTTAACCAATAAAGGAACACTTTCTACATTTATTTCTGAAAACCCAAAATAAGCACATAAGGTCAACAATTAACATTCATGTTTAAAATACTTATTTCTCCCTTGATTGTGTAAAGCTTTTTCCAAAGTCTTTTTAACTACTATTCAAAAAATACATGTCACACTATTTAACTAAGACATCCTGTCAGTAACTTAATTAAGTTCACTCTAATGTTTTAATAAATCACCATTTAAACCAAACCACTGGAAAAGCTCTTCAGTTTCAGCAGGGTGCACAGTAATTCAATTTCAGATTGGATTTGTAACAACAGGGCTTACTATCATTAATATTCATTAATGATATTTTTTATCAACACCCCCTAATTGTCGACACTGGATCATTTAAAACAATCAATAGAAACAAGCTCTGCATTAATTAATAAAAATATCAATGTCTCAGCACGGTGGTACAAGGTTTCAAAGTAAATTAAAGTCAATGTGAGGGCAAAGTGAATCGACTGGATGGGAGGCGTACTCTTTTCTGTAGGCTTCCAATCTGTTTCCTGGTTTCCACGTCTTTACCCCCAGACTCCAGGAACTTCTTGTAGGCCAAGTCAAAGGCCTGACCGATAGTTAGAGTTATCTCCTCTGCCTGCACGGAGGGGAGCAAAGACTTGATTGTGATATTTAACTAAATGTCACTACAGCTTATTCGTAGTTGAAGTGATTATTCATGGTTAACTACAGGGTGTAAAAATAGCAATCAAAACACAATGTGGGAGTATAAAACACAGGTCTATAATACATTCTGTGACATATGTTATATATTTGTTTCAATAAAAAGACAAGGCAGCGGAAGACACTTACACACTTTTCACTGTCAAACACATAGCAGAGGTGTTTGTTGGATTCCGAGTCTTTGCAGATAAAAGTGAATATCCTTTTATCTGTTTTGTCATCTGCACAGAAGGATATCCTGTGTAACTGACAGTTATGCTGCACATCCTGGAAAACCAAAAAAATACATTCATTATTTAATTCAGGAATGTTGACAACAAATCACTTCTTTGTCTACATGGTGTTTGCTGTCAGTGTAACATCAGGTGTCATGTACAAAATCAATGCACCTGCCGAACAATCAAATTCAACTTTGTGCTCACTTTTGTCTTGGGGTCTAGTATCTTCACGCCATAAATGGAAATCTGCAATTCCACTTTGGGGGTCTTCTGTCCCTCTGACTTCTTGATATGTCTCTGAAACTGCCAGTGAGGGAAAACAGGAAAACAAAATGATTATCTTACAACACAACAACTAGAACAAGTAAAGCTGTACACAACTTTAAAGCTGCTAATTTCTTTGGCCACTAGGGGCAACACTGCAACTTCAAAAAGTTGCAGACACTAGCAAACAATTGCCTATTTACATATTTGGCTGATATAGAACATCCACCAGCATTCATTTAAAGTTTTGGCCATCTGACATGTAAGTCCAGTATTCAATCTCTATTTAGCTCCCGAGAAAAAATACCTGGCCCTGCTAAATGTTCTACTATGTTCACCGGCTAGTTGCTAACTTTGTCCGTCTACTGTTTGGTGCTGAGCAGGTAGTTTACAGTTTATCAGAGCTTTTTTCATGGAAAGGAAAGTGGTGCCATAACAGTAAAGTTGCTGGCCGTAAAACCAAAACAATGAGCTGAAAGAGGCTAAAAAGGAGTCAGGTGGATTGGTTACTATGAGCTTTATACACTTTCAAATTTAAAAATAATAAATTGATTGATATAGATTCAAAATATTAATTACATTTTGCACACCTTGAAGGTGGATTTACAACAATAAAATACATTTAAAAAACCCAATAACACAGACATGCTTGGGTATAAAACAGCAGCATGTTATCTTTAAAGTGCAATGAGAATTTGTTCAAGAAAATCTTATCATTAAAATGTCTTATAATAGATTAACATGGAAAACAAATCTGTGATTCATCCAATGTGTCATTCTTTCAAGCGCTGCCAAAAGCTTTCACAGTTATTTTGCCAACTGACATAAATACTAATGGGACTTGGCAGTGAGTTTAGGTCAATAACCATGAAAATGTCTGTTAAAAGGGGAGTGAATGCTGTCGCTTAAGACACTGCATCACTACATGTAAGGAAACTCACAGGAAGCTAACACCCTACAGTTATTTCCAATGTTAATATACATGGAGATAAATGTTTAGGAAGTATACACTTTAGTCATACGAATGAGAGAAGATTGAATCTGCAGCTCAAATACTTGCATGACTTCACTTTTCAATGTGAAACCTTGTAAAATGTGTGTATGAGTGTGCCGACAAGATACTGCAGTATCTTTTACAACCTCTAACATTACGGCACTTACAGTAAAATTATAAATTCAGCTGTAACCAACTCTTGTAAGGCCTTGAGTAAAAGCTTCCATAATCTAAGGACTTTTTCAGGAGCTTGCGGACATGAACATGAACAGAGTGGGAGAGACAAAAGTAAGTCTGTGTTACAGGGAGATTCTTCTTGCTCAAGTAAAAACCCACATGGATTTATATTCTAGTATTGGACTAAACTGATATGACCTAAAACATGGGCACATGCCCTCCAGGGCTGTCTCTCAATTCAACTTCAACAATCAACAATTTCTTTCCCTCACGTGATCTATGGAACGATAAGCCTGTCCTAATTGCCAGTGTATCTGGGAGAGTAACCATGGAGTCTTGGTCTCCAAACAGGCTTTGGAGATCAAATGTAATGTAACAATAGAGGTATGGGTTTGGGAAAACAGTCCTCCCCTACAAGCGGCCTCACAGATTCAACTCTTGGCAGGAGAAGACAGAGCAGAGGCCAGCGGGCAGTGAGCACAGCCACATTACCGAGAAGCTGTGAGAAAGGAGAGGTTCTCTGGTTGTGTTCCCATGCATAAAGGCTAGCACTGCTAGTTTAGTTGAACTAGATTAATGTTGAGGAGTATGTGTCTGAAAACAACTCAGGTTAAGGGTCATAAACAGAGGAAGTCACTGAAACTGTGCCTGATTACATAGAAAATCTAAAGCCTAAATAACAAATAAAGCTGTCAGTGCTTTCCAGAGTGACACATTGAGCTGGTGACTTGCTGAAGGAAAGATCTTTGTCCTGGCTACAGAAAACCAGGACTGATTGCTGTACACCCCTTCGGTGTCAAACCCAGACCCTTTTTCTAAGGTTTTTCTCTAAAAAAGTTTCAAGGGTATGCAAGAGTTCCATGTTTGTATACACGGCATTCTTGATGCAAGTGATAGTGAGTGATTGTTTTTTCCTGTTTGGCCTCATGGCAGCACTGTTGCCTCACTGTTACTATGAATAAATATAGACACAATACGCAGAATAAGTTTATATTAGCTTACTGTCACAGTTACATGATGGTGCAGCACCTGGGTGTCAGGTTTAGTGCAGAGCAATGGTTGTTCTGATAGTGGAGGGTAAGTAGCTCTGGAACTAAAGATTTACCTGAGGCTACCAATGATGAGGAATCTGTTTTTATGCATCAGATCATTTCAAAGCAGAACAAGAGCATGAGAATGACAAAGGTCAGACTACATTAGCTTTCAATGTGACAATGATTGAGAAAGCCAGAAGCGCATGTGTCGCACTGTCCTGGAAAGCCTTGGCAAACAGTGGAGCAGTATGCGCAGTGTGTGTGTGTGTCTGTGCTCACAACCATGTGGCAATAACCACAAGCAAGAGACTGTGAATTGTGATAACTGTGCTGACTATTTTGGGTTTGATAGGTACCACACAACAGCATGAGAAGAAGTTACAGTAGCCTATGTGTCAGAAAGTAAGGTATAAACATAAAAGGTTGTGTGTATACATAATATAAAATTTTTTTTTTGTAGTTGTCAGTAATGTGTTTAAAAGCAGTTTCATGAAATATGATCATGGCTCAATCAGCATTATATAAGGGAAGTATGTAAGAACCTCAAGAGTTAAATATTAAAGCTGCTCTAGTCAATATTTTTATATTATCAATAAAGGCAATGACTATGTGTAATCTATATACCCTTGTAGTGTCTTTCAGATAAAAGTTTGGGTTTGACTGCTTGAAATGCACCACCCTCATTTGCACTGTTTCCCAGACACAGCAGGCGTCACTAAATGGCAGCCAGTGACAAGCTGGTGAACATTTACCTCTAATAGAGCATATATTTCCCTCAGTAGCCGGTGGACACAAAAGAGATAAAAGCCGAGTTGGCCAACACGTTTGCCATATCTATAATAACGTGTCAATGTTGGCTTTACAGCTTCTTACACCACCTCCTACATACACACAGAGTCGCACAGAGCAACATCAGCATTGATCTTAAGTTGATTTGATCTATGTAAGTCCAATATTCACTCTCCTTTTAGCTCTGTAGCATACACTGGCGTTATCAGGGATTCAGAACAGGAAACAATGTGTACGAGAGAGGAATAAGTGGGCCAAAAAACAATGAGCTAAAGGAAACTTAAATGAGCAGAGGAGAACTGCAGAGTTGGTGATAATTCTCTGTGGGTTAGTGCCACCTGTCACATTACATATAGGAGCTTTAATCAACGCATTAATTAACAAATTATATTATAGCACATTTGTGTTTACATGAGTCACATTAACACTAACAGCGTACCTTATCAGGGAATTAAAGTATACGTTTCAGGAAATATTTCCCCCCTATTAATATGCAAATTTGGGCTGCAGCATCTAATTACATCATGTACTTCATGCGAGGAACCAGTGGTGGAGAATATTAAGTGTCAAGAGGTTTTACGATGTGTCACTGAGTTCTGCCAGGGTATATTAAAGCACCTGTGCTTTAATAAAGTGACTTATTAAGTAAAAATGGGATGTTGGTGTGGTTGAGGTAGGAAAACAACAGGTTTCATGGCAGATAAATATCCGTTTTATTGAATTCTACATCTATTTGGGAAAAGTTGACTGAGCAAACTGCTGTGCTTATCCAGCAGTTATAGGCATCCACACTCAGGAGCAGAAAAACTCCAAGGGCACCTTGCTGGTAACTGATGAGGGAGGGGAGCATTTGTCACTCACTCCCACCTCCCCTGCTCTAAGTCTCCAATCCAATCCGGTCACTCAAGAACACTCTTCTATCCGTTAGGCTACAGCTTACCCTGAGGACTGGATTTACCTTTAGCTTTCTGACTGCATCCTTTACAACTTCTGTGCCTTTTGGGGCTTCAACCTCTGTGTTTCCAAGGAACTGGAAAGAGAACAAAAAAAGGCATACAACTATGATTTGACAGTAACACAACAAAGACTATAGACATGTGTATGTTTGGTGCAATAAACTGCACATGGAGTCAACAAAGACAAGATAGAAGTGACTGTTATTCTGTTATTCATCTTCCCCAATCACTCAGATTTGCTGAATCCCTGGACTTTTTTAAGCAGATCCTCAAACCCTACCTCTATAAGCAAGTATTTTTACAGATCTCCTTTCTTTTGTTCTTTTAGTTTTCATTCTTGTCTCTCTTTTTAAATTCATTCTTTTCTTTTGTTTTATTCTTCCATAGTATTTATATGTTTCATATGCATGATGTGATTGTATATATTTGTATGTACACATCTATGTGTAAATATGCATATATATATATATATATATACACACACATATACGTGTGTATGTATGTGTGTGTTTTATTTGGTTGTTTGTGAAGCACTTTGTACCTGTGTGTGTATTAAAAAGTTCTATATAATTAAAGCTTTACTTACTTACTTCCAGTGGATGTGACAAACATTTCTTTTATAATTTGGTAAGATTAAACTGTGGAATAATCCTTTGATCATAAATTAAAGCAGGGAAGATTTTTATCTGCATAAAGAATGAACTCATTACATTAGCATACCAATCACAGATGACATTTGAGTCAATATCATCTGGTATTTATCAAGTTCAAATGAATGCAGATAACATTTGTATCAAATTATTCATGCTCAAATCCTTCAGATCCAAATTGGCCATCTTACACATTTTCACTTGCTGTGGCACCAAAGCATATGCCTTAAATGCATGTACGGAAATGCACAACCCCACACACACACACACACATACACATAGAAAGACACACACTTGGGAGCAGCACTTCTGCCATTCTCCAACAGATGGAGCCATTAACCTTTGTGCCTGAACATCGTGTTTTCCATCTGGCAGCAGCAGCAGTAATTGTTCCAGTCACACACACTGCTTCAGTGCCTCCTGAGCTTAATGTGTGTAGCCTGTTCCAATATCAGACTTCATAAACACTGGTGTCAGCTCCTTTAAGGTTGGGAAAAACAAAACAACAATGTCTCCCACTGGAACACAGCAGACAGCTCAGACAGACATGGATTGTCTCTAGGACACAACAAAATCTGTGTGAAGCTTTCCATGACTTGGCTTTGCTAATGTCCGTTGTCCTTGTATATACTTTATATGGGATGATGCTATACTCTGTAAGCGATGGTCTGTCTTGAACACTAATGAACTTGGTAATTATTCTGACATTTGGTGAAGCAGTGTGTTCATGCAGACATAAAAAATTACTTTAATGATCTTTAATCGAAGATAAAATAAGAGCTAAAGTAAGGATTAAAATAAATACAATTTTAAATCATGTAACGATCTAATGAAACCTGCAATATTGGTAAATACCAAAATGGCACTTCAATAGAGCCAGAAAACAGATTGAGGTTTTATACAGGAGTGTCAGCACTCTGCACCGGTGTGACAAATGTACTCTACACACTTAAGGACATGTCGGAGAGAGTCTGTCTGCTGACAGATGCCCAGAATAGAATGGAGAAGCTCTTGTTCCTGACCAGTGCATTCTGGGCTGCGACTGGGGAGGTTTCACAATGTAGACCAAGCACAGAAACTCATCCATCAACTGGTGCACGCAGCTGGAAAAACGAAGCACCTCTGCCCCTCATTCCCCACAGGATTCACACTTAAGCTTAAAGAGACTCTGCACCCACAAATGCAAAAATCTGACAGAGCACAAATATTTCAACCCTGCGGCAGCTCTTAAAAATTAAACTGAGATGACACACTGAAGAGGTCCACCTCCACCTCATTGTCTATGCACAGTTCACTATTCCTGATTGAAAGGTTCTCACATATCTAGAAAAGGGCAGGATCTGTCATGTGCGATTGAAGTGACTTCTGAATGTGATGTGATTGTTGATCACTTAACCCAGTGGCTCAGAAATTCTGAAATTCCCTCCTGTAGTCCAGAGGTCAATAACACTTGTTGATTACAGAGGTCAGCGGAAACTCATTGAAGCTGTGGCCCAAAAAGAACCAACAGGAGCTTTGTGCAACAGCCAAATGCATGTCGACATCTCTGAGCAAAGAAGAGGCAGAGAATTGAAACAGATGGCCTATAGAAGCAGATGACAGTCTCTAGTGTCATCTCACCAGAACATAAAGCTAATTAAATTCAAAACAGGGAAATGCCACCTGGACTTACAAATCCTGGCTGCTGTGGTGGCAGGTTGATGGCAATGAGGGTAACAATTTGGCTTGAAGATGAAGCTGCGGATCTGTCTTGCTTTAGTGAATGAAGAGGCTGGTGCTAAACACATAAGTGACCCCTCGTGTTTCAATTAGGGTTACAACTAACGATTATATTCTTGATTAATCGTTTTGTCGATAAAATGTTAGTAAACAGTGAAAGATTCCCTTTACAACTGCCCACAGCCCTGCGAAATGTGTTCAAATAGCTTGTTTTATCAGTCCAAAACCCAAAGATATTGAGTTTGCTATCACACACGACAAAGAAAAGCAGCAAGTCTTAACATCTGAGAAGCTATCAGAGAATGTTGAATCAGTGCAGCTTTACATCAAGGTAGCATCACTAAAACATACCTGGACAAGCCATGTCATATCCAATGCTTCATTTTATCATCTTTCATATCTGATTTATTCAGTTCAACTGCAAGTTTTATTTCAAGGTCTTTCAAGGTAATTTCTCTGGAAATCAATAACTGTTTTTAAACTTAGACTAAAATGAAAGTTTTAGAAATGTAGCTAATTTCCAGATAATTACAAAGTTAATTCCAGGAAACCTCCAAGAATTTGGGGGGGAAACCTGTAAAATGAAGCACTTAGAGCTGAAACAATGTGTTGATTGTCCACAAATTGCATTTTCCGTGAGGATTTGCTTTTTCTTCTCAGTTAAGATGTATAATAAATATGTTTGAGCTTGCGAGTCACTTTGGTCTCTGGGGAAGTACAATAGGCATTTTTCTACTTTATTGGTTAAATTAGAAAATAATCAGCCAACTAATCTGTAATGGAAATAATCATTAACTGCTGTCCTGAAAGCATAACTGATATTTCCCAGCACAAGGATCTTAATGCTGTTAACAAGAATAAAACTGGTTTTGAAATACCTGAATCCTTTGCTCGTGTGTCTTGTTCCGTTTATTGGAAGATAGTCAGCATTACATGAGACAAATCTCATAGAAAACTAAACATGCTACATTGTAAAGACCCACCCAAATCCCGATAAAACACAAAATGAACGATGCGACCAACTTCAGCTCGTTCTCTACTCACCTCGCGCTTGGCCTACTATCTAGCACCATTTCCCCACTCCCCAGCAGTAGACATGCTATCTCCCACGCCCTCCTAGGTAGGCCAGAGAATGCGCTCAATCGAAAATCTTTTTTTCACGATAAGCTGAACAAAGTACAGGAGGCTATTTATCCTGCCATCAAAATGATCAAATAGTCACGGAAGATATTTCTCCTATGATCTGTGGAACTGAATGCGATGCCGAAATTACAAACAAGACTTTGGGAGCCGAAAAGATGATCCTTCTCTCTTCCAACTAGCTAGAATACTACACAAGTAAATTGCTAACTGAGCGTTATTTTCAAGCGACTTCTTAAACCGGCGGCAGAAAGGTTTAGCCCAAGCAACTGGGGATCTCAGCAGGTTTTGGCGTCGCTCTCGGGATTACCCTCCAAATTCCTCCAGTGATGAAGTGGTCTTACTCAGGATTCTCAGCAAATCAGCCAGACAGTCTATATCCTCATCAGGAAAGCTGACGTAGAGTATGTTCGTGATTTTAGAGACGTGTCTGCACCACTCTCCCCGCCCTTGCGCCACTAGGACGCACTGTCAGCAGCTTTTTGGGCGGGGATGCGGTTAGTTTCGTAGCTTCCACCTCTCCTACCTCCGTCCGATCATGGTAGACATTCGGTGAGTCTCAGCGATTGGTTTTGGCCTGCTGACAAGTCATCTTCGCACCATTTAGGAAGAGAAAGAACTCGGTGCAAAAGAGACCAGGAAGAATCCGTGGTGTCGACAGGAAGCGCCCAAGGACCATGTCCTGCCTAGCAAGATGCGGGGGACTGGTGGAAAATTAGTAGTTGCGATCGCAAGCATCCATCTCCCGAATGGCGGTGCGCCAGTATGGCAAGTGATTGCGCGGCAGGACCAGAAGGTGGGGCGGCTGAGCAGAGGAGGCAAGCACGGATGGTAAGAGATCCCACTCATGTGAAGACGAGAACTACCACAACAGGATAGGGAAACAGGAGAAACGTATCAAAGGAAGATGGTAAAGAGTGAGGGCCCCAGGACAGTCACGGGGAAAAACAGCTCGGGAAAAGCCGAAATTAGAAAGCTAGAGACGGTAGTGTGATGACGTAATGTGGGGCCAGGCAAACAAAATCATCGCCACACGAAAGAAGCCAGTGTTTCGCCCGTCAAGGCACTGAACGAGGAACCTGAAAATGGACATGGCGAGGAGGGAAAAGCGGGGAAAGGCGTTGGAAAGCTGTTGCCCAGCTTGGGTGCAAACAGATAAAACATAATACAGCACCAAGCGACGGGGAGCTGCTCCCCGCAAGAAAGCCGTGGTCCATAAAACAAAGAACAATATGAAGAGTATTCAACAAAGAGACCCGAACGTAGTATGCTAAGGAGTTTTCCAAGATGATGTGGCTATCATATTAGGAGATTTGGAAGTCTATGAGGAAACATGTGCTTGAAGTGCTCACAAAAGCTGAAGCAGATTACATCATCACCCTCGCATCATCGCGTCCCACCTCCGACGTGAAAACTCCCTACCCATTTCTGTGCAAACAGTAAAATGTCGACAGTGGACGAGGAGGGACTATCGGTCGAGGAGGGACCAGGACCGGAGAGCGCTGAGACCAATCGAAACCCAGGCTGCTAGCTTGATAAGAATCACATGCTATGAGATTCGGAAAACAGAGGGAGTCAAGCATGTTGCTTGGGGGGGACTACACACATATGTAATGCCGACCCGTGCAGACTGTAGATAGAAGAAAAAACGATCATCAATTCTAAGACATTAGATACACACAAAACTCAACACACGAGAGCTGCATCCATATAAATATTCCAAGGTGATATATAGAACCACACTAGATATAGACACAAAAAATGATGCTTATACTGAAAAAGGGATAAAGTGAAAGCACCGTTATGTATTTATATATTGTATCGAGTGTGTTGCGCGGGCCACCCACCAGATACCTGCCTAGAATGGAGTGATGCACAACTTTAACCGTCGCTATGAAGACAGCGACCAAGGCATGGAGGTACCTTTTATTGTATTGTGGATTCGAATAAAGCAAGTATTATACAGAACGTTCACAGTCTTAAAAATAATATGTGTGTCACAAGTTAGAAATCATATACACTGCATTTTGACCGCAACATATATGAGTGCGAATCACTACCATTTTGGACAATAACTATTTAAGTAATCACTGATTGTTGGTATACCTTAAATATACCACACAAGAAAATCTTGGGAGAGTATAACTAAAATGAATTATTTCAACAGCAAACCATCTAATATAGCTGAAAACTTTTTATACTTAACCCACATCAAAAAAGTTATTGTTACTGATACACGAACATAAAACCTGTTGAATAATATAAAGACACATAAACCAATTTATTGAGATTCATCCAAAAAAACACAACTAATCATATCGAAATTATCTACAATTCAACACGCTGATGCGAACAAAACCAATTTATAGCGTCTATAATCAATCTGTTTTATTATCTATTAAAGCACAACCTGAAATACATATATCGTCAAAGCCAGATTTACTTCTAAGAAAAAGCTAAATGTCACCAACTATCAGAAATTAGTTGGCTGTTAGCTTAATCTACGTGCAGAAATGTGTTTAGTACTTGGTCCAGTCGAGTGAGGAGCTAAACCCGGAAAAAAATAACCCTCGACTCCCAAACCCTCGCTCATGTTCGCATCGTATGCGGCATCTAGGCCGTTGGGGTATGCCGTCGCTTTCACGTGAAGCCCCTAATGATCCAGGCAGCTTAATGGCTTTCAAGGGTGACATAGTGCGGCGCTTGATGCCGCTGCACGTCCTTCTAATTATAACTGTACATCTTTAGTGATCACACTCCACTGCATCTCTACACAGTATTCTTCTTCGTATTCTATCTATCTTTCGTTTCTATCTCATACGCACAGACACATTGCATAATAGATCAATGGAGTACTAATCTGATAATCCATAATATAAATATCCGCGAACAACTAGTCATTCATGCAGATTACAAGACAAAATAAGCCATAACACCCCACACCCGCTTTAGTTTCCGTGCAAATCCTCCATATACGAATACTCATAGTGCATGTCTGAAACCCTCCACATTTAGCTGCCACAGTCATTAGTAGAACTTAGCAAGCTATCCCTTGCGCAGCTTTCCACAAGTATCCACTGATCAGGATCCACTCGTCTTTGACTTAGTACATGCCGCATGAACCTCTCGCGGTGAAAAACTAAACTGTACATTGTAAAACCCCCAAATTGCCATAAAACACAAAGAACATGACCATAGTGTTCTTATTCAGCCTCGCTTCCTACTATAGCACCATTTCCCATGTCACAGATAACACATTATCTTAGGTTTAGTTCCAGAAAGCCTCAAGGAAAATCTTGTGGTTCACGAGAAGTGAAAAATACAGGAGGTAGTTTAGTCCTGCCATCAAAATGATTCAAGTCACGGAAGATTTTTTATGATCTTGTGGAATGAATGGATCCGAAAATTAAAACAAGACTTTGAGGCGAAAAGATGGATCCTTCTCTCTTCCAACTAGCTAGAATACTGAACAATAAATTGCTAACTGAGCTTATTTTCAAACTTTAAACCGGGGAGAATAGGCCAAGAACAGTCTCAGCACTTTGGCGGTCTCATTCCCTCCAAATTCCTGCAGTGATGAGTGGTGTACTCAGATCTCAGCAAATTCAGCCAGACAGGCAACTCATCAGTGAAAGCTGACAATATGCTTTGATTTTAGAGACGTGTCTTCCACCAGTTCCCCCTGCTTTTTTGCTGCATATGGTGGGAGCTTCAGCAGTTTGGGGGGATGTGGTAGTTTCGGAGTTCCACCTCCATTCCATCATAACATTTCTGAGTCTCAGGATGTGGGCTGACAGATTCACTGCCTCATAGGAGATAAACTCTTTGTCAAAATGAAGCAGAAAACCGTTCTGACAGGGAAGTGCTCCCCAAGTGAGCCAGTCCTCCTACAAGATGCGTTTGTTGGACTTTTGAAAAAGGAGTTTTATCGCAAGGCATGTTCCCACTCAAGGCCGGGTGCGCCATTTATTTCAAGTTATTCTCGTGTCAGGACCAGGAGTGTTGGCTGCTTTTGACAGAAGCATGAGTCACTTTATGTAAAGACCTCACTCATTAATACATAAACAAATCAGGAAGGTTGAAGCACAGAGAAACTTTCAAATTAAAGTTGGATAAGGATGATTTTTCCCCATTACATCACTGAGGGAAAACAGCTGCTTGGAAAGATAAATAGTATAATATATACGTAGTGTAGATACTTAATTTGTGTTTCCATTCAAATCAAATCATCCACCATTAAATATCCAAATTCTCCCTGTCAAATTCATCTTAACTGAGGTAACCTGAAAATGTAATGGATGATGAAAAGGGGTAAAGGGTGTTGGGAAATGCTGGTTGCTCCATCTGGTGCAAACAGGAAAAACAACTACATCAGCCAAGCTACTTTGAGCTGCTGCCCTCAATGAAAGGCCTGGTTGTCTCAGGAGAAATGCATCATGGAACACCTGGCCTGAAAGGTGTCGGTTTGATAGGTCTGACAAATGAACAGGAAGGTGGAAGCCACAAAAGGAGAGATTCTGTTTTGTTTGTGTATTTCAGTTTGGACAGTGAAAGCCTCCCATCATTCTTTAACATAAAAATGTGTCTCTGGTCTTTTTTTTTGTTGGATTATTTTACAGTCACTAAGCTCTTACAATGCAACAGTCTGATGGTTAAATACACAAGGATACAAGGTTATTTAATTGCTGTTTTACAACACAGGGTTGTATAATGAAATGCAGGTCATAGCTCCCTTAATGCTTCTCATAAAAACAAATAATATACATACAAAAATGATATACAGTAAAATGGATAAATAAGTCATAAAATACCTTGGCATTGTAGGGTATGTAATGCTTGGCCAGTGCCTCCGGGGTGTGCATCCATGATTTATCTGAAATGATACAAACAGCTCACTCAATAAAGCAGTCTGAATCAACTGTCTTGCTCAATAAAGTATGGCAGAGGTACAAACTATGGAAGTTGTTAAATCTCACACAAAGAAACGTGTGAGGAATGAATATTTTACATCAAAGCACAAAACTTTAACATCACAGAAAATGGAGGAGCTTAGCCGTAAGACCTTGAGACATAAGAAAAGAAATATGTATTTCTTTCAAGAAAACAATGAGAAAGCTCACAACTGGGTTTGATCAAAACATTTTGTCAAATTATCTTTTTTTATTATTTAAAGTCCAAGTGAAATGAAAATTGTCAAAGCTTCAAGATTGACTTGTTGCTAAGAAAAGCTAAATGTCACCAACAGTAATATTAGTTGCTGTTAGCTAGTTAGCTTGTGCAGCAAATGTTAGTTGACTTTGCCCAGGGTTTTAGGAGCTAAACCCGGAAAAAAACACCTCTGTACTGTCCTCAAACTCTGCCTCTGTTGGCATCGGATGCTGCATTCAGTCCCTGTCTTGCCGTGCTGTTCACTGGCAGCTCCCAGTCCAGCGGTCAGCTAATGGCTAATGGTACGGCTGCTTGTCCTGCACGTCTGGCAATTGAACTTGTGACCTTGTAGTCACACGTCCACTTCTCTAACAGTGTGTTCAGACTGAGCACAGGACACATTTCAGAATAAATGGAGTATTGCATTTTAACATAATGTAAAGATGTGAATGTCCTCCAGATCACAAAAATTAAAGGTGCCCTGTGTAGTTTCTGACCACTAGTATGTTATTGTGCATGTGAAACGCAATACACATTCCTGCTGCAGGTTCCACAATATTCCACTGATCAGACAGTTTGTGATAGTGACATGCGATACAGTATATAGCAATGACCCAACAAAGACTGAAAAAATATTTTACAATCTTACAATGTTACATATTTAATTAAAAAAAAGTTTTGGGTGAGAAACACTGACTGTAAACTTTAGTTTGTTTACAAGAAAAACTCAACAGGGCCCCTTTAAAGTGGAGATGAATCAGCTAAAGCTCAAAATGCCTTAACTTTGTCCCCGTAACAATGGCCGGCAAAGTGAAAAAGAAGAGACACTAGGAGGAATAATAAAAGGTGGACTGGGTTTCCAAGAAAGTTTTGAGACCAGTGAAAGTCTGGCTTGTCACACAAAAATACACAGAGCTGGTTGAAAGCTATAATCCAGGGTGCGGATACTTTTTCTTGTCACACAAACATACAGAAATCCTCTGCACACACCTGGTCAGAGCGTATGTTCCTGACTAATTACAGCTAACGTCTGCAGTGGATTGGCTGTTTGTCCACCACAAACATTAACTGCATAAATGAGGGCTAAAACTGGCTTTCCAAGAATCTGAACAAATCTTAAACCTGCTTCCAATATTGATCCTTTACTTAATGAGTTTCAGGTATGGCTCCTGTCAAAACGCCCCATTGTGCTCCAATTAAACACTGACAACGTTTTGCTTCAGGAATAGTTGACAGTCTGTTGAGTTGATGAAACAGACAGTTGTCAGCCGGTTCAATTTATACTATCCAGTGACAGCAAGCACAAGTAAGAGGAGATTTAAAGCCTTTTAGAAAGCTTCCTTTTCTGTTTTTTGCTCTCTTTTGCAGATGTATTATGCAGTGCAGCTGTCAGATGAAAACTGCCTTTTGTTCTTGGAGAGAATTAAAAGCTGCCCATTAATTCCGTATGATATTAGCTTCATTATCTTATTTCAGAGGTTTTTATCTGTCAAACACATCTAAATTGAATTAGATAATTTAGGCCTATTAGATCGAGAGTTAGTAGACTCTGGATGTGATTGGAAGACACTTAGCAGACTCACTGGTTGACTTGGATTGGATTCCTAGTGTAAAACGGATACGATAACAACGCCAATCAACGGAAGAAAGCACATTTTCAAAACTATTTCGAGTTAATAAAACTATAAATGAATATCACTTGCATTTTGAGTATCATTTTTGACATAGTATCACACGTTATTTTATGTGCAGTTAATGACTTACTGACAGTGTTTGAAGATTAAACCAACACAAAATGAGCAGAAGATCATAGATCATAACAGGTCATTGGCGGTTTTCCGCATTTCTTAATCATCCACTGATTAAGGATCCTTTTCTTTCCTCATTTCCCATTCATAAACGGCTTATCAGCCTGTTAATGAATCTTATGACAAAAGATGCATGACTGTGACCTTGGGGCACTCACCTCCTGTAGGTTGATTGTGCTAATCAAGACTTTGCGAGATGCAAATGATGTGAATCAACTTTACCATGTCCGCTGTATAATTATGCTAATGACTTTGTTTACATTGATGTTGTTGGCTAAGTGGCTTGATAAATTCAAAGTCTACTCTAATTAGTTTTAATTTTGTGCTCCACATTTGCTTAATTGTGATTGCTCATGTTTGCTAATCTGACATATTATTTACAAGGAAAGCAATAGGCTTTCTCTTGACATGCAATGGAAGTCATGTTTTCTGGAAATCAGTTTGATGGCAGAAAATAAACAATACTGGCAAACATTTTACACACAAATGGTAACTTTGTTTCACTTTTCAGACATGCATTGCATGGTAAACCCTGAGACTTTCCCTCTACTTAAACTGTCCTCCTTTTAAGTTTACTTAACAGCTGTGCAATGAGATTATCCCCTGCTTGCACCTTGCACCTTGCAACAGTCTCCTCCAAAGTGCAATTAATTTCCTAGTGGGACTCTTGAGTGGAAGTTGATAGAAGGAGGAAGCATCTCCTTTCTTGTACAGTTAAGGGGGCTAAGAAACTGCAAATTCCAAGAAAGAGGAAGGAGGAAGAAAGGAGGAGGTGAGGGCTGACACAGCGGCATGGCAGGTAGGCTGACATTTTTTCAAGGCGTCAGCACACATTGTTCTGATTAAAGGAGAGAAAGTGGTGGGGGGGGTACTCTTTCTCTCTTTGCTGCACAAAATGGCAACTACGTGAGCAGACCAAAATTGGCAAAAGTGCTCTCAGGGTCGCCATGAGGGAAGATTAACCGTCGGGGCGTAAGGATGAGATGTGGCGTCTGAAGGTCGCTGTGTGTGGTTGAGTCGTCAGGTGTTGGATGAAGATTCGAGGGATGACAGTTTGAAAAGTGTCAAAGCATCTCTGTCACACTGTAGTGGACTGCATACAGGTCTCTGGAGACAGGGAGTGCATAGCTTCTCAGTGCTTTCGGGTCTCCTGCAGAACCAGTTAGCACATGTGAAAGCATAAAGGTCACGGGTCTTTCATGCGTGTTACACTCCAGCAACCACTGTACTGTTACTAGCAATAGTTCTCTTCATATTTCCTCTGTTACAACACAGGGTTGGGTATGCACTGCACTTTTACCTGCAGTAAAATATGCTTAAAATTATATCTTTAAAAAGTACGTATACTGAAAGATATGGTGTGCAAAAGAACAAAAAATAAGTAAATAATATCATCTCCTACGGATCATACGAATATACTGATCCTGATGTTTAACACTATGCTCTTATTTTCTAAAATTTGAACCTTGGATTTGCTTTCTTTAAAACTACCTGATCTATTGGCAACTGTGTGGAGTACAGCCCAAAACCCTGCCCATAGATACCTGCTCTGATTTAACAGAGTAGACAGATATAAATGGTTAATCATTTGGCATGGGAGGAAGAAAAGAAGAAATAATGTATACCTTCAGATAACAATAAAGCCTTGCTCCTTAGCAATGCAAATAGAACAGGCTCTGGAGTAATGATTTAACAAACGCTTCAACACATTACTTTAGACATGAGCAGCACATTATAGCACGTAAGGTATGACTCAGACACTGGCAATGTTGCTGTCAATACTTTTCCTTTTTAAATAAATTACATTTTTACAGAACATTTGTACTGTGGTGCACTAGAGGAAAACAGACCAACACCTTGCACCACAAAAGTCCAGCAAACTGTGACAATTTGTGAATTTATTGATGGCTTGATCTATTAGACCTTTATCTCTCCTTATCTACAAGCTAACAGCTGTATATCCCTTTATCTCATATACTACTGTGAATCCAGGCAATGGGGTGATAACGAGTCTTCACAGTCTTTGATGTTGATGAGATATGGATCCAAAGAAAACAAGTACTCCAGTTTTCTAAAGTCCTCCACTTATATATCATTACATATCCTTCTTCACCTTCAAAAACACTGTAAATATGGTCAAGAAGAATATTTCACTGAAATAAAAAAAACTTTCATAGACAACATATAGTTCAGGACATGAGTACCTCTGCTCAGAGAGCAGCTACATTTTGCAACTAATTCTAAAACTTTCTCTACCATTTATGTGGTTGCTTTCTTGTTGCACTTTGCAGTTTGTCACCTCCCTGTGTATAGCACTTGTGAAAAACAGGTAGAATACAAATAAGGGTATAATTCAAGTTACTATAGTATTACTTTTATTACTACTACTGCTCATAAAAATAACAATAATAAACCTATGTAAAACACAATATTTTTTAACTCATATTGTTAAGTGTTGTCGCCATCCCTCCTTAACATTCTCCAGGCTTGGCTCTTACCTTTGAGAGCTTGAGTGCTGTGCTGTAAGTGCACAATTTTTCTATAGGACCACAAGCAGTGGGCAGGCAATAGCCTAATTCACTGCAGCGCTCAATCAATGACACACAATGAATTTGCTGGGTATGCACAGTTCTCCATCATGCAAAAGACAACTTCAAATGGGCTCCAAGCAGAAAGGACCTAAACCACTCTCCTGCTAAGGCCCAATTGGACATTGTTACTTTGAGATAAAGCTATTTAATCTGTATGACTGTCTGGAAACAAAAATCCATCTGGTTCCATACGTCAATCGCTGTTTGACATAAAGTACTACACCAGGGTGAAATGCAAAAAAGGCTATGCAAAATGTTGCAATGACACAGAAACAGTGTCAGTTTGTCCTTTGAGAGAATCTCACAAGGTTTTGTCTGCACCAAAT